CCCCCCCCCCCCCCCCAACCTTTCCACTTGGAGACAGGAACCTTCAGATTAGGGTTTGCCTTTGCCCTGCTACCTTGAGCCAAACTCTAACTTATTGAAATCACATGTCCCTAATGCTATTTTCTGAACTAAAAAATGTTATATTACACATTGCCAAGTGATTTCAGCTACTTGCTAAATGTTGTGCTTGATAACAGCAATATCAACCTCACCTAGAGAAACACTACAGAATATGCTGTCTAATTAGCAGGCTAGCTGATGGACTGTATAATGCATATATAGCACTTATTGCTAATATTAACCAATTTAAACTATGCTGACAGACCAGGTATCATTATCACGTTACATAAAGCTTACAGAAACAAGGCACTATTCTCTGAGGGTCCTATTAGTGTAACTTCTTCAGTAAAACTATGTGTCTGCACAAAATTCTGACTTAATATTGACTTAGGAGGTCACTGAAATAGTATTTCTAGAGAGAAGTTGTTGCCCTTTGAATGGGAGTTGATTAGAGCCAGGATTTGTAGAAGCCAGCATCGAGCAGCCGTCAGCGACACTGCACTTTAAGATACATTTGCACTGACTTCAGCCTGTAGTCATAGTAGCTGCTGCCTGGTTTGGCTACTTTATTGTGTTGTGTTTGGAAAGGCCTTAATGACAGTTTAGTCTACAGTTCTGCTGTTCTGGCCCTGTCTGGAGGAAGCCCCATTAGGTTTACTTTGAACTTTTTTTAGGTGATCTATGAGAAAACCATCTTCAATACATGAAATGATGCTAAAGCAGAAAGCACTGCTGACTGAGGATTTGTTTTGGAAATGGTCACAGTCAGGATGCCACATTGGTCCTTTCACTGTGAGCTACTTGAATTGTTTTCAACACAAGTAAAAGTCACTGCTGCTTGAGTAATGATTAAGTGCAGTAACAGTACTTGTTAATACTGCTTATTTTGTTATATTACACAGCCGGGTTTGCTGTTTACTTGCACCCTGCATGGGGATATGTACATACACATTGAGAGCCGATGTACCAGAGTCAAATTCCTCATGTGTCCGACCCCTGGCCAATAAAGCTGATTCTGATTCTGATTATGAACTAATTTTTTGGCCATTTACAGAAGCTGGATAGCAGCTTTCACTTTTCATGTTTACACAATGTTCCAAAACTAGTGAGTAGTTCAAATCAAATCTGCAGCATCGAGCAACAGACCTGTAATACAGTTTGGTCAAACTAGATGTGGTGAGTAAATAAAGTGAATTAACACCATACATAGTGATTAACAGCTTGTCTTCTCTGAGTTAGCAGACTGCAGTATTGCAAAGCCCCCTCCTGCTGATACTGTAGCAGTGGGGGATAATAGGAAAGAGACATCTCTGTGATGTGGATACGGTAAGGGATGCATACACGCACAGCTGTAATTACAGAGTTGAAACTGTACACCCTGTGTCTGTCAGTTAACGCTGCTGTCACTATTATTACCCAGTCGCCTCTGTACTCCAAACCACACTCTGCAATGGAAATTAACTTTATGGCTGACAGGGCTGCGTAAAACTAATGCTAAATATAAACTCAATGAAATTAATGGGTGGAAGTTGTATTGCAAAAACAACCTATGTTCCCCATGGTATTACAAGTTGAACTGAATCCAATTACTGTTTGGTGGATGTCATCTGGTGTTACATAGTGTTCTCGACGCCCTCCATGGGCCCAGTCTGTGGATGACACACAAGCAGAGATTCTCTGTAGGGTTCAAGCCTTGATGTATGGCCTAGCTGCAACACAATGGCTAATGTTACAAGTTGTCAGCCAGTCCATAGGGGGTTGGACTCAGGTGGCTGTAGGCAGCCTGTACTACGCCGAAGTGGCTGTTCAGTTTGGGAGCGACTGTGCTCTAGGGATTGACCACCTTCAATTATACAAAGGGAAAGTGCAATGGAGGAGTCAGTGTCCTGTCAGCCCAAAACTTCATCGTCCTGCACTTCAAACACTGCACAAGATGGTTGTCTTGTGTTTCATAGAGGTTTTAACAACAGAAAGATTCAAGTTTTCTTGAAAAGCTGTTGCACCATGCAAACAACAAAAGCAAAGCCTATACTGAGAAACTGAGTACTGCTGCATGTCAGCGTATTAATAATACATGTAGGACTATATCAAATCATTATTTTTATTACAGATAAATCTGTTGATTATATTCTCCATTAATTGATTGAATTGATTTAATGTACAAAATGTGAAAACAATGTGAAAAAAGCCCATCACAATTTCTCAGAGCCCAAGATGGTGTTTTCACATTGCTTGTTTCATTACTACACTCTTGCTGCTAACATGCTGCTGACCTGATTAGGTCCCATACATCCCTTTTTATTTGTTCATATTTTTATATTTACTTATACAATTGTGTGTTATGTAAATAATATGTCTGTCTTTTAATCCGAGAGCTGCCGGAAAAAAATTCATTGTGCTATGTATAATGACAATGAGGATTCTTGACTCTTGATTCTTGATTTGACTAACAGAGCAGAACCCAAAGTGTCAGGTCCGCTCGACGGCTGCTGCCTCTCCTCCACCTTTCTCTCCTCTATTTTCTTGATCTGCGGGATTCTGCACCTCAGCTGTGTTGCACTCGGTAATTGGCGACTCGTTTGTCGGTGCACACAGCTGGGGTGCATCCCGCTGATTAGTTTTCCTCCTTATTTATACCTCGGGCAGACGCTCTGCCTGGGGCGGATCATTGCGACAAGTAACGGACAATACTTACCCAAAGTAAGATAAATGTTATGTTTGACCCGCATTTTTAGACGTGTTTAAGATGCTACGCTGACAGTTCCTGTGCGTTTTGGCTTGACCTTATCATGCTAATTATGCGGTTAGCAATGCTTTGTCTTCCACACTGACAGTCCCTGTGCTGTGGATTACATTGTTTACGTTAGTTCTTTTTGTTCACCTGTCCATTCTCATTCTTTGCTCTCCTGATTCCTGCCATTGATGTGTATGTGTACCTATTTGTCCTGGTCTCCTTAGTCATCCCTGCCCTTCCCTTGTATGTATTATGGACCCTGTTATGTTGTCATGTTGTTTTTTTTCCATTAAACCACCTTTTTTGTACTAGCACCTGGGTCAGCCATCTTGAGTCCAACCCCAGTTCTCCCTCGCCCTCCTGGTGAGGGGGACTAAACCGTAACAAAGACTTTCAGCTTGCAACAATTTAAAAACACTGAATTGTCTCAATGAATGCTGGAACTACTGAATGTTTAGTATTCTTGTTTGAAAAATGAATTAATTGATTATCAGAATGGTTGCTGATTATTTTTTGTCAGTGGACTAATTAATTAATTGTCTATTACTTTAGCTCTAATTATATTAACTTTATTATTTTGCTTTTATTTTTTGTATTCAAGGAGACACTGTTACAATTTGTATTTGCTTTTGCTTTGTTTTGCATTCTGGTTATTGCAGTACTGAGATATGTGTAGCATCAGTGTTGTGTTTTTATGATCTTAGAGTTACACTGTATTGTAAAGTGACTGTTTTAGCAGTGGAAATAAAAAGCAAATGTCTCTGTTTGGACACCATAGTAAGTATTGGCAGCTCTTTTGTCTTTTTTTTTTATTATTCTCAGGTCTTCATCTCAAAATATCCCCACTATTGATACTGAGATCCCGGTCAATATTGTAAAAAAATGATTTTGTCAGGCTCTACAAAATAATGCCAGTAAAACTGCAGTATGTTCGTGCCTGGCACATTAAACAAGAAGGAACTCCTTTCCTTTCACTAGCAGGAAAGAGGATATTTATTCTCATCACGTTTCTTTTTTTTTTAACCAGAATTGCTTTTGTACAGTAATAAAACTGTTCTAATGCAAAAAAATACTTAAAATCTGAAATTTACAAGTAGTCATGGTCAGCCTAGTTTGTTTTAAACCTCATTGTAGACCTGTGGCTTGTGTCTGGTTTCATGTGGTTTCCCCTCACTCAGTAAAAAGCTGGGCTGACAGACAAACCTATAAACAACCAGCTTTTATCTCTCTGACAGAGACATGGCAACAAAGAGCCCAGCTGCCTGTCCTTATTCCTCCTCATCCCTCTGTTTTCCCCTTTTATCTTTCCTGTCATCGCCCCACCATGCTGAAGAGGAGGTACAGGGGGATCTAGAGGTGTGCATAAATCTCTTTGCTTTCTCTTTCAGATTGTTGGTATCAGGCAGCATGGTGGCGCAGTGGTTAGCACCGTTGCCTCACAGCGAGAAGGTTCCGGATTCAGGCCCCACCTGGGACCCTTTCTGTGTGGAGTTTGCATGTTCTCCCTGTGCTTGCGTGGGTTCTCCCCACGTACTCTGGCTTCCTCCCAGAGATGCAGCTTGGGGTGATTGGTGTCTCTAAATTGCCCATAGGAGTGCGTGTGTGTAGTTGTTTGTCTATGTGTTAGCCCTGCGATGGATTGTCGACCTGTCCAGGGTGTACCCCGCCTTTGCCCGATTGCTGGCCGGGATTGGCTCTGGCGTGACCTCATTCAGGGACTAAACGGTAGAAAATGAATGAATCATTGGTATCCTAAAGTTGTTTTTTTTTACGTCTGGCTCAACAACGGACTGCTACTGCAGAGGACAGTGATACAAGTCATTTTCTTGATTTATTGGAACAAAACACTGACTTTTCATCCTCAATCAGTACTAGCATAATTGCAACAGACATCACTTAAGATAATGATAGTTCTCTGAATAGTGCAGTGCTCTGCTTTCAAAGTGGACCCAACTCATCCAAATTACACTATACCTATCACTGCTAACCTACAGGACCCTACATTTTTAGCCACGCTAACAGCATGGCGCCGGGGATGGAAATGTCAGACCACCACTTTGATCTGGACTGAAACAGCTTCACAGCTGTTGGATAGATTGTTCAGGAATGTTTTCCACATAGTTGCAGTCCTAGAGGACAAATTCTAATGACTTTCATGATCCACTGGTTTTATTTCTAGTGTAAAATATTTCAGCATTTTCTATGGATTGACACAAAATCTTAGCAATGAATAATATCGACTTTCAAGTTCCCCTGATGTTTCCTTTGTCCAACTCTCAAAAACCTGCAAAATGAATGACAATCCCATTATCCGTGCTAACACTCTAACCTAAGATGGCGAACATGGTAAACAACATACCTGAGCCAGGTAGAAACACACCTAATATACCTGATCTTGTTAGCATGCTGGTGTTAGCATTTAGCTCAAATGTGTAACTTCCCTGACCCATACCTCCATCTTGTTCAGGGACACCCAGCAGTCAGAGGGGAAGTCTTGCAGCATGGGAACCAGGAACTGTAGGCAGCCGTCCCAGTGACACAGCAGCAGCATCATAGCAATCAGATTAATGATCCGCATCACAGCACTAGCCAGGTCATATGTCATATGGAAGATCTGGAGTGAGACAATAAAACAGAAAGGGGTTTAAACTGCAGGCTGAGAGATGAAAAGATACCAAATAAGTTGGATAAACATAAAGAGACACAACACTTCATATTACAGTTGTATTTTGGGTATGAACTATGTCAAATACTTAAGACCTTCAATTCATCTCACTGGCAGGACTGGCTAACCCACTCCACTCCACTGTCTCTGCTGGATTAAGTTTGATTAATGAGTAAGGGAGACAGGTTCCCATCAGTCCCAGGTCAAACACAACAAGACATCTGTTACACGAAGACACATGACATCAATCGAGGCTCAAACACGCACACGAATTCCAGTCACACACACAAAATGCTCACGTAGGCCTGCGGGCACAAAGATATACTAACAGCAAAGACAGCCATGCCAACATGTACAAATACACACATTCAAACACACAGGATGATAGACAGGGACCATCTTGAGTCTTATCAACTGTCTTTGTCATCTCACAAATCAATCATCCTCAGTCACCAGACAGTCACTTAGGCCAATCTATCGCCTAACTGACTTCAACAAACCGCCCCATGTTTGTACTTAACAGCTTGATGACTGCTTAAACACGGTAATGTTATTGTAGTTATAAGGCCTATATCTTTATAAATCACTGTTGTTTTTGTAGTAAGAACAGCTGACATTGTTTGATAAAGTTTAGTATAATGGAGTGAGACATGGATAATTTTTTAGTCAGTGCAGCTGATGGAACAGTGATACTCAATGTGATGAAGAGTGATGAAGAATCAGACTAGACACAAAAAAACATGCTCATCTTTCTAAATGGTGCTTTAACCTTTACAGGTTTTTGACTATCTGTTTTTATCAGTCATTAACTGATAAAGGAGTCTTTTGTCACAACTGAAGATGGATGAGAGAAACTTTACTGGACACAGCGGATGTGCTCAGCGCCATGAACGGCTCCCAGAAAGTTACTGGAACAAAAAATAATTCTTGGATTTTCAAAATCCACTGATGATTAATAATACCAAAGAGACAGCCATTTGAAAGTGGTTATTGTCTGTGTCAGTGTCTCACTCTTCACCACATCTCGGCTTCCATTCTCCATGCATGCCAAGTATCATTTCCCATCATGCACCATTGTGTGTATGTATGTGTATCACATCATATCTTCAGAAATCCAATTATCCAAAGGTCAAGTGAGCAGCCAAGCCCCAATGCTCACCATTGCTAAATGCCAATACTGGGATAAACATAAAGTCAAAAGATCCAATGACATTGTAGGACCTCTTGTCTCCCAAGCTGCTCTAATACGTTTGAGAAAGGAGTCTGAGGAGAGGCTGGAACAGAGTGCAGCCTTCATAGAGTAAATAAAAGCCAAGTGGCCAGGAAGGGGAGGACTGGGTCTTTAAGTTCAGCCTAGGAGATGCAGGGACTTGCTACTGTAGCAACAGGACCCATCTTCACATCCAAAGTCTGCAGGGCAGGCCTCTGGAAAAACACTAGCTTACCTAACCGCTGCAGTCACTTTAAATGAACAATTAGTGACACATATAATCACAGTCAATACCCTTCCTCATGCCACATATTATCATCACCCTCTACCCCACCTGCTCTTCCTTTGGTGCCTTAATTGTTTAACAGTATTTACCTTGGCAATAGGCTGCTTATTAGACCACCTGATGCTGCCTGTGGGACTGTCAGGTCAGACAGGGAGGTAGGGGGTAGTTGTGTGATAATAACAGTAATTAGAATGTAAAGTTTGTTAAAGTCCAAACATCCTGCTGGCACCATACATTTCTCACTGGGTGACAGGTGAGAACGTAAATTCTGATCCCGCAGGCAGAGGAGAGCAGGTGGACAGAAAAGCAGATTGTTGGTCTGGTTACAAGCCAACATCAGCGTACTGGTGGCCAGTCAGTGACCTTTTATCACTGACTACTTTGAGTGTTTCTGACTCTGTGGCTAAGAGTTGTGTGATCAGAACTAATATAATATTTACTTGCACAGTCATGAAATACATACCTCTTCCCATTGGTGAATGTAACGTATTAATCTGGAGAGCCTCAACAACCTCAGGAGACTTAGGATCTTGGTAAAGCGGACAATCCTCAGGGCCCGAGCAGTCTTGTACACCTCTGAGTCGATTCCCTTCTCCACTATGAGGAATATGTAATCCACTGGGATGGAGGAGACAAAGTCCACAATGAACCAAGTTTTTAGGTACTTCATCTTAATGGTTTTAGGGTCCAAAATGATGTCCGAGTTGTCCTCAATGATGATTCCAGTGCGAAAGTTGAGCACCAGGTCCATGAGGAAGAAGGTGTCAGAGATCACATTGAAGATGATCCAGGGAGCAGTGGTCTCTTCCTTGAAGAAGGTGATCCCGACGGGGATGATAATCAGGTTGCCCACCATAAACAGCAACATTGTGAAATCCCAGTAGAACCTAGCAGGCGTGTGTGCAGTTGAAGTGTGTACATGATAGTGTGTTTACATGGGTGTGTGTGGCATACAGGAGGGGGAAAGGGGGAGGAGGGGGAAAATAAAAATAGAGTCAGATAAGAAAAAGGAGTTGCTGTGGAAAGTTGAGCTGAGCACAAGAGACTTCCTAACCTGAGATGGAAAAGTGTAAACACTCTACAGGAGCTACATTTTGTCTGCCTGAACACGCAGAGTAATGAGAGGAATTCACATAATCACTTGTTAAAAGCTATTTTTCTGTTTTCTTGTTGCAAATAATGCAACACACAAAATCATATGCTTTGACCTGCTCATGAGAGTTTATCTTGTGGTAAAATAAAATAATAATAATAATTTTATAAGCATAACTGATGATGGTTTTTCCCTGGTAGGTTTTCTTTTCTATGACTAAATCTTCTCATCAGGCTTCATTCTGAATGTTTAAGTGATGGACTTAAAGACAAGAACGTTTCATCCACCTTTCTTAACTCTTCTGTTCTGTTGATCCCAGCTTTACTTCCTCGCTATTTAGGGCCCCACAAACTATTATAAATAGCATTTTTTTCACTAATCTTTTTAAAATTGAGGTGGCCTATGTTGAAAAGTACTGAAGTGGTAATCCTCTGCACACAAATGGCGTTTGATGAAGGTAACAAAATACTGAAACAACCACACAAACATTGAATTTGTTTCACGTTTTGTATTTTATATGGGCTATGCATAAACACTACATTAAGTGTGTTTGCAAAAAAAGTAATTGCTAAGAATGAAATATGCAGTCTATTACTGTTCATGTTACTGTATGTTTGTGGTAAATTAGACCTCATGTTTCAGTTCATGATGTCATTCATCCAGACTCATTTGACTGTTGACTGCTGGACATGTTGCTCCCATGCAGCATGCATTCTCTGTTATATTCTTATATATTTTTATTATATCTCTGCATTTGCTGCTTAAAGTGCCTTAGATTTTGTGTTACTTATTTATCTACTTTATATTTGGATTTGATGAGGGGTAGTGCTACATAAAAAATAGGGTACTGTCAACACCAATCACACATGTAGAGCATATTCATTGTATAAAACTGTTTTACAGTTAGGGAGACCCCAAATAAGCGATTTTCTTAGCAGACTAAACTAAGTATTAAGCTGATAAACAATGCTAAGTGTGTTTTAAGCTGATGAAATGGACCGAGCAACAACATTCTGGTTAGTTTGCATTTGGAGCTCTTATCGACTTTGCAGTACGCATGGGAGCCAAGAAGGCGACCGTCTTGCTACTCTCTGCCAGTAGTGATGTGGAACTTTGGTAAATGGGAGCTACAAAGTAAAAGTAGTGAGGTTTGAGTCCGTCGGTGTCATCTCTGCAGGACAGGTGCAGCGCTGAGTCATTACACAGCGACTTATGCAACAAGCTCTGACTCCACTCCACGGCAACAATGATACCCCCTGGAAGAGCAACTTTACTGCTTTAGGTATTTATGCATTAACGTAAGAACCAGAGGAGAGCAGCTGTTGCCTCTCACCGTGTGGGCGTTTACGTGACAAAGAAAAGTCTCCATGAGTGGCCTGTCTTCATGTCACATCTCTGCTGTTTAAGACGTCTCCGGTGTAGCCGTAGTGGTCGACCTACTCGACGTTATGTGATCGCTACAAACGGGCCAAACACGGGGAGGTTTACACGTAGTGCTGCAAATTAGAAGAGAGCTGTCCACTCCCTGTGGTGCTGAAGCCAAACCACACAGGCTCAACTAAAACCCACTGATTTTCTGACCCAAATCCAATTCAGCGACTGGTAAATGTCAAATAAAGGGCTTATGGGCTTATGTTACCAAGCCCAGCTCACGAGGAGCCTTCTTGTCACGTAGATTTCCCAAAATATTTCTATGACAAAATAGCTGCTGGATGTCCAGCCTGGTTATCGGTGTTGAAGAGACAAACAGGGCGAATCCGTCATTAAAGCAGGATTCAGGGAGTCTTACAGGCGGATATGTCTCCAGTGAGCATGCTTGGGGTTTTTGCACACTTGGCTCAAGGTGACATTCCATTACTGAGTGCATCGCATACACTCATATATAGGCTACATCCAGCTCTTGTCGCAGAGCATAGCTTATAGGACAACGAATCTGTGAAAATAGTGTCCTTTTAAATGAACGCGAATTAGCATCGCAGCGTTGTCCTCTGTTAAACGTGAGCGTACTGCAACGAAAAGTCGAGATGTGTTAGCAGGCCGAGCTTGTTGAGCATCCTAGGCATGCTACTGTACACACAGACTGGAATAGGATTTGTTTACAGCCTTGAAAGGACACTTTGCTCAAGTCACTTCGCCTTACAACAGGTTGTTTGGAGATTAATGGCAGCACGTTGCGATGCATCGATTCAGATCTCCACGGACTCAATCACAAATCAGAAACCTTGAACAATAACCACACATGTGTTTCCATGATGGAGTCACAGCTGTTACTCACTATAAAGTAAGTTGTAGATAACAAAGAGGACCCATATGGCCCCCTCAACTTTCAACTTGCCACTAGCAGCAGCTCTTACCTGAAGTCGCTGTAAGGGTGGATAATCCAGTTCCCAGCTGATTTGACCCTCTCCTGCTCTTTCTCCACTGCTTTTTGACTACCATACATGCGTAAGGAGAATTTGTTAACTCCAGGCTGCAGCATACTACTAAACTGCCGCTGCATAAAGCTGGCTTGGCTGCCTCGAGGTTCCGCATCCTCGGCGGGCACAATTGGTGGTCCATCCTCGGGCTTTTGGAAAGTGACAGAGTTCCTGGGCTGCTGGATCTGAGTCTGAGTCGGGCCATGCAGTGAGGATGAGGCTTTCCGGCTTGGTGCGTTAGAGAAGGACACCTTGGAGTCCTTCTTCTCGGGCACATCACCGGATACGGGAGTAGCGTCGGTGTTTGCCAGTCCTCCATGCCCCCCGGTGAGGGACCCGCCTGGTGTGATCGAGCCGTCCATGCTGGCGGTAGTCGAGTTACACGCTCCTCGTTTGGTGCTCCCTCCGTCCTCGGCCCTCCCCGACCCTCCTGTCTGCTTCTCTTGTTTGGAGATGATTGAGCGCAGGCTCCCGGTACCCGAGTCCCTCCTGCATTCTCCGTTTTTGTTGCATTTCATGCTGCAAATTGGAGCAACGTTGTTGCAACCATCACCCGCTGTCGCGTTTAAAACCTCTCCCGCTACCGCAGATTCCGACTCCTCCGCCCCAGATGCTCTGCTGGTCTCTCCGCGCTGGGCAGCATCGCTCGGACAGAGTGTCTGTGTCTGGGTAGCGCTGGAGGCAGCAGTGGGCCGTGGAGAAACAGCAGCGTCCTCTGTGTGCGTAAGGCAGGGCTCCTTGTTGGAGTTTCTCTTGGAAGCCGAGGACGAGGCTCCCCCTCCTGGCGTAAAGTTCTTCATCCTGATACTGCCGCCGCCTCCTCCTCCTCCACCTCCGCCACTGCCGCCCCCCCCGGCTCGGCGCAACCGTGGATGCTGAAACTTGGACTCCTCTTCTCCGTCCTCCGTCTCCTCCATCACGACGTTGCTGGCCACACCGGGCTGCTTACCGCTCGGTGCGGCAGAGGAACCGGACTCCAGACAGTTCAGGCCGTTGTTGCTTCTTGTGCATTTGGACGCAGCAACCTTGGGTGCGTTGATGTGGCTCCGCCCACCGCCTTCTTTTTCATGGTGGCAGGAGATGCCGGTGACACCTCATTCCTATCCATGACATTGAGCATGTCAAATTTTGCCTCCAATTATCTTTGGAGAAAACCAATCAGAGACAGAGAGGATTGTGAGAGAAGAAGCAGAGAGAGAGAGAGACAGGGGAGGCCAACAGAGGGAGGGGTGAACGTGACTTCTTTGCATATACTTTCACTCTATGTATTAGAGATGCTCAGGCATCAATGTAATGAACCCTTTAACTGCGTCAGATATCATTAAACTATTAGCTTATCCTGCTGCTAATTCAGTTCAATAAATTTCCAGCTGAGGCCTCTTAGTCATCACCAAAAGTTTCAAATGCCTCGAGTAGCTCTATCCAGATAATCACACGGAAATAGATGTTTAACGTGTTCGCAATCAGGGGATATACTAACATCAAAAGTTTAATTACCACGTGTTAATGAAAACTCAAATGATGTCATATGTTTTATTAGGTGTTTTCAATGACACCCTCCCTTAATTGATGTCACCCTTAGTTGGTGTTTAGTGCGCCCTAGTGGCCATACACGGAGAGCACAGAAGGTTTAAGACAAGTGTTTACTAGTTTATGACACAACAGAAGCTTCAAACTTTGTCAAAGACATACAGGTCAGAAACAGGAACATGCACAGCCTAGGTCCAGTTGTCTACCCTGAATGTGAACTTATGATCACACATCCCTGTATTCCTCCCCCACAGGGAACATAGTGTCACATAGTGTCACACGTCTCACCAGGGCTATGGACCAGGGTTTCTGCAGGTTTCATCAAGTTAAAATTGAATCTTTTAAAGAACTTTTTAGACCACTTTGAAAGCAATTTAAGACCTAAATCCAGGGTGCAAATCCCTCCCAAAAAAGGGACAAATAACAGTTTTTTTAAACTTTACTTTATGTAAGTTAATGTGGCATACAGTAGAAGTAACATCAGAATTTAAATAATCAACTTAACAATTTTTAAGACCTATCAAAATCATATTTAAGACGTTTTAAGACTTTTTAAGGCCTAAAATTCAGATTATTGGATTTTAGACGTTTTTAGGACATGAGGAAATCCTGTGGACACTTGATTTTGATCCTCAAGTGTATTTTTGGTAGCTTAGAGGTGCCGGAAAGGACACGTGCATTGGCTGAAAATGCACAGTCCAAGGAACAAAAACTTGTAGGACTGTTTTCTTGGCCCTTACTATCTAAAAGTGCAGCATCAAGCCCATAAAAACACAAAAAAGCACTCAAGGAGTAATCAATTAGCCATTCGCGTCCTCTTTTGGCAGTTGACAATGCTTTAACATTCAGAGACAGAGGCAGCTTAGTCAGCTACTGCATAATCCATGCAGATACCACCTGTAACAAGGGTCAGCAAGCACAGTAGAGGTATTGATGTACTGCAAACACTGACAGATTGATGCAGGTTCAGCATCACTAATGGGCTAAATGATGCTATGGCTTAAACTGCATGGTATGAGCATAAAAATAGCGGGTTCCAGGTGTGTAGAGCATTACTAAATGCATTTCCATTAGCATATCTGTTGGAAGGAAATGCATTTGTATATAAGGTGCTCTGAATGCATGTTTGTGCCAGTGGCCAAAGCTACAGAACATCATACCTGGGCCATGGTAGCCTGTTAGTTTTGGTTTGGTTATATGTGAATAGTAGCTTGGTTTTACACATAAATACTTAGCAATAGCAGAGAATTTACACATTACATATCATCCCCGACTAACCTTTCTTGAAAAATCTACACAAAGTTCCACTTCAAGTTAAATCATCTTGCTGGAATTGACCTAACTTTTGATATCAGTGCTGGGAAGTCATAAGCATGAGCTGTCTCCAACCCCTTCCCCTACCTCTGCTTCATTAGTCAAAACTACACAGCTATACCAAGCTTCAGCCTAATCTCCTGATAAGGTTGATGCAGTGTGGGACACTCAAAATAGTTTTCAACAAATGACAGACCAAAAAAGACATTCACTTTAACCAGCAATAAAATTAAAATAACTATTCAACTCCAGGCAATTGGGCAAGTGGTATTAATGGCTTAGAAACATGTTACAATACAGCACAGGAGCAGAAATCGCCTCCTACGAGTGTTAACCTATATAAGGAAGATTAAGAGGTGACCTTATTGATGTGGAGCACCAGACGCACAAATGTGCCGCACTAGTAAAAACAGAATCAACAACAACAAATGAAGGCAGCATTACTCAACGAGAGCCTCTGTTCTGTCAAAGTCAAATTAGCTTTTTATATTTGCAGTGGGAGGCAACACCTCGACTATTTGCTTTGGCAGCTTTGGGAGTTTCAAGAATATAAATTTAACTTGTTATTCCTATCTATTTGAATATAAACTTCACAGGTTACTGATCTGATGATTCACCCACCACCTGCTTGTTAAAATCTGCAAAAAATATCAGGGCTCGCTCGACAAATACGTCTTTGTCGCACTCATGGCCTCAATACAAGAATGGTATGCTATCCGTTCTCATGGAGGTCCTTGCAGATTTTTGAGTGATTTTATTTTCCAACATTAATTTTGAGTTTCGCCAGCACCACAGTTCTAAGGTTGACCTGTTAAAGATGATGTATGCCGTTTACTTCATTCCTCTCTCCTTGGCAAGTAAATGGCTGAGCTGTGATCTTTCTCCTGGTGACTGCACAAGGTCGCACCGACCAAAAACAACTGGGTCTGATCGATGTAGAAGCATTATTAAGTGTGTAAAATCTAACCTCCTGGAGCAACAGTACCAGCAGGATTACATTTTCATTGCAAATAAACCACTGGACTTTGAGTAATTTAGTCATAGCTCATATTTCCAGCCAATTCCCATACTGGCATTGGAACTGTACATTAGCAACACAAACCTGAAAATCTGTTGTTTTAGCACTTTATTGTGACTGTACGAAAAATCAGTAAATAAAGTAATAAACACTTGTTTTGTTAAACACATTTGTCCATAGAGGTGAGATGATCCCATGTCTGTTTCCATGTCTTTTTTACATTGCTCAGTCTTGGGCAAGAGTTCAATAAATAAGTACATTTGTGAAATTTTCACTTGAGAAATAAAAATGTGTCCACTCTTGAGCTGTGAGTATCTTCACCTTGCCAAGATACACAAAATACACTGGGTTGAATTATAACAAAAGAACCCAAAGCAAACAAAAATACACCCTAAAAGACACTAATATTTTTGTTCAGTAGTTTGGCCAAATTCACAGTCTCAATATCAGACAGAATTTGGTGCAAATAAAAAAAAAATCTGATGCATACACTCAGTTTCCATTCCACAAGGTTGATCCATTGGCTGTACAGTGGCTGACAGTTAACACAAGTTCTCTATCTACACATCTATGATTGCACCACTACAGGCAATGTGTGTGTCAGTGTGTGTTTTTTAAAAAGAGCATTTTGTCTTTTAAATATAAAATGTGTCCCAGCTTTGTGGCAAAGACGTCTCCATCAAAAAGGCTCAAACTCTCCACCAGTTCAGGTCACCACCGCACTTTTATTATTATTATTCACTGCCTTTGTGGATCCTCCTTCACCAGTGCCTAGTCCCACCTCCCAGTAGCAGCAGAAGCTGGACCGAGTGTCCGTTTAACACAGGGGGGAGGAATGATGACTAATACTCTGCAACAGATCCAGAGTTCACCTTGATTCATAGCATTGCCTAGGACTGAGACAGACAACTGTCCTGGTCTCTGTGGGAGAGAAGAGGCTTTAGGTCTCAGCTGCGTGTGAGGTTTTCAGATGAGAAGTAGTGGTGACGGGGGAAAATCTATGAGTTGCTGGCAGCATTCTCATTGCTAGGTGAGCTGGGCGAGGAAGAAGAGGAGGAGGAGGAGGAGGGGGAGAAGTTCATTCCTGATAACCCCGGTGGGTCTGTGGCTGTGTTATGTCCGCTAAGACTCTTCCTGCACACAGGACATGTATCATGCTGTGGGGAAACAAGAACAGGCAAAAGTAATTAGTCTGCTCAACATCAGTACATTAACAAATTCACATGACTATTTTGTACTGGATATGTAATGGTATCCAGTTGTGCTTCAGGTGCAGATGTTTTTAATTCAGCCTCCAACCTGAATCATTCAATGAGCAGAGCACCAATCAAATATTTTCCCAACATAATACAACTGCACTGTGCACACTTAGAAAAGCCAATCCAATTCACATACGGTAGACACTCAAATAACAGCCTGATTCCTGACCCTGATGCCACCATTTCTACGATGTGTTCAGCAGTTCATACAGGTCAGGTGACAGCTGTTTCCCCCAGTCAGAGCAGCAACTGACCAATCCAGGCTTAAAAGGCAGGATTAAGAATGGGAATGTCATCTTTCTAGAAAGCTAGGTACGTTAATGAAAATAACGACAAATGGCGAAAAAAATTACTGTGTCTGATGGAAATCATGCAGATGTGTTTGGGACATCCTTGACAGACACACATACCTGTTCCAGCCATGGTACTATACAGTCATTGTGAAACAAATGATTGCATGGCAGTTGTCTAACACGCTCCTCAACACGGTAGTCGTCTTTGCACACAGGACACTCTAAACCAGCACCTGTACAAACAGAAAATGGCATACTGTCTTTGTGTGTGTGTTTCATATAGACAGACAAACAGAAAGAATGTGTGTGAATAATCGATTATTCAATTAGGCGAAAAGGTCAATAGCATATTGAAAAATTAATAATATATAATAAATCAAAAACATTTTTAAAGATATTTCTGTAGGTAACAGGAAGTACTGTCAGACAGGAGATACGTTGGTTAATTCAGCAAAAAAAAAAAAGCAGTTGGACAACAATGTTGAGTGCTCATAATGCACGATGAAGCTACAGTTCTTTCATGGTTCTACCAGCACGATGATGAGTCCTTCACAACATCACCACAACAAATTTGGAGCTTCAGCAGCAAAAAGACTGGATTTGTTGCTCCGAAACACTCGTGTGACAACAAACGACAGGAAGAAATAAGTGCTTTGGTGACTGAGATGTTTTCAGATGATATCCATCCTCTTATTGTCGACAGGGTGGAGGGATTTCAAAGGCTGATGTGTGGAACCCAAATACACTATGACCCATGAAAGACAGTAACTGGGTGAACTGAGACAAAATACAAGGAAGCGGGCAATGCTCTAAAAAGGCCTTTGATAGAAGCTAAGCAAAAACCTTTTTGCTCTTTTCTTAAAGAGAACTCAAAAAAACCGAAACAGAGTTGCTTCTGGTGCAGAATGGGTATGAAAGAACGAATGAGTAACTACAAGTGAGCACTTGGGAAACATTAGAGGACTTACCCACATGTTCCTCTGTGATGGAGATTGTGGGTAAACTCTTTATCTTCTCTCTGTCTGCAGGAGGAGGACCCGTGTTCTCAAACTGGTTCAATAACTAAGTGAAAAAGATTAGAATCACAATAAAAGGCTGTGAAAGTGTATGGGGAGAAGGTTTGTCTAAATGTCATCTTTAAGTCATTGCCAGCTGAAGATCTACAGTGTTGCTAATGTCAGAGAACTTTCCATGTATACTTAATTTAAAACAACAACAAAACAAAGGACACGTCTTTAAAAGGTAAAAAACGAAACATTTTAGGACCATGGAGTCTGTTATCAATATGTTGCTATAAAATAAATGTAAATACTAAAATATATCATCAATTATTAATTATGACACTGTAAATGGAAAGAGCTCTAGGGGCCCACTGAAAAAGGTTTTGGGACAGGTAGCTACCTGACCAATAAGCAGTTTTATTTCAAATGTAATTAAAACAAAGAACACATTTTGCACCTGTGTAATGATAGCATCAAGTCCATTGGCACCCCAGGCGTAGTCCATTGGATTGGAATGTAGCATACCCCTGCAAAGCAAAAACATAACATTTTTTCAACTCAGCGACACAAAAAAACAAAACAAACGTGTGTGTGCTTCTGTGCTTACCATGGTCCCATCCCAATATTTGGCATGGCTGTAGGTGCTATGATTCCATTTACTAGCTGCTGGATAATTCTGTATCAGGAAAAAAAAACAACACAGTAAAATAACACTCTAAGGAGCATTTGTTCCATTAAAGTAAGAAATTCAAATTATTTTCTTGCCTAATTGCACAAAGGGAAAACATTGTACATATTTATAATGTTATGGTGACAAACACAGTATATTATTATTCAGTACAGATGGTAATATTTATAGGAGTGGCAGTACTTTGCTATTAACATGGTAATATTGGATACTCTAAAACTATGAAAATTTGATTTATGGTGCAGTATTGTCTATCACAACATAAAAACATGTATTATCCACATACAAAATAAGCAAATTGTTATGTGTACCTTCTTATGTCCCACAACAACCTACCACATACACTATACTACTGAAATGTCTCACCCCTCTAATGTGGGTACTCCTTCATGGCGTGTACCCTGTCGTCGAGGAACATGTCGACCCCGTGGTTGCCGTGCACTGTATCGTTGACGTGATGCCATTTCCCGCTCTCTCCTGTTTTCTGTCTCTCGGTTGTCCTCTGTCGGCAGTCGCGTTCGAATGTCCAAATTTTCATCGAAAATTCCAAGGGCAAATGAGCCATACCCAGAAGGAAATGTGAATAAGTGCTGTTGATCCATGTTCTAGTTTCAAAGACAGAGGGAATGTCACATAATGGTGCAATGAGCAAAATGTTTTTCTACATGGTTTGATTTTGTGAGTCCCACTGACCTCAAAGGCTGGGTGGTTCTGATCACTGGAGGAGGATATGGATGCAGATGCATTTTCAGTACTGCATGAACACAATGGTGAAGAAAGTGAAAAGCAAAGACTCCAAAACCCACTTAAATTCATGAGACACACAATAATCCTCCAAACCTTCTTTCCTCTGGCAGTTCTTCAATGAAGCCAGACTCACAGCGTGGACAGGTGTAGTCCTACAGTGAAAATATCAGCGTGAGTATCTAGTGTGTATAAGCTGTGACGAATATAGAACAGCTGCCTGTTTATTAGGCACACTGAGCTACACAGTAATTCAGCAGATCTGCATAAAGTCCTACCCTAGTTATAAAGTTTAGAAAGTCATTTTGGAGGCTATGTGCTGCTGCAAAATTGTGCCATGGTAGAATAAATATGTCTGTGAAGTACAGACATGCCAATGTTGATGTATACCATAAGGGCAATCAATACCATTTATCACAGATGTCTTGTTTCCACTACATTAAGTCAGCTTAATGTATTGTAAATGTCACATTCTGCATATATAATACAGTGTGAACATTTCTGATCAGTAAATATAATTTCCTGTGCGTGCAGGCTGTATATAAAGTAACTGTCACTTTAACATTCAAGAACATTCCTATGAAAACTTTAACAACAGACTGCTGTGGCAGTTACAACAGCTAAGTTAGGAACATTAAACTGACGCTAGTGATATTGTGCAAGTTTTACTCATCTTTGAAGAACAAACACAATATGCCATGTGGAGGTTTTGTATTAGCTGACCTAAATTCATTAAATGAAAAACAAAATCAGCTAATCGCCCCCTGAGGGAAACATCATCTGCCTAAAAATGTTAAACTACGCTTTCTGATGTTAAGGCTAGCTAGCTTGCGGACATTAAACGGCGCCACTATGAGATCCGTCAAGCTGTGAAGATAAGCTCTATTCAGCATAACGTTACTATGGTAAAGCTTAAATTGTGTCTCTCAATCACGAGATCCTGATGTGGGTGTACCCGCCAACTCAATTGCTACCACTCAGCTGTCACTCTAACTTAGACCATTGATGCTTATGGGGCTAACTAAGTAAACTAGCGTAGCTAAACAGAAGCGATGCGCCACAAGCATAAAAACTTAACAAGCCCAAAAATATTTTCTCACTCTTCAGTAACGCAAATATGTCTCTTTCATCATTACCGGTAAACGTGGAGTAATCTCTGCTGAGCACCGGTGACAAAAAAACCGGCAGGGCCGTGTAGGAGCTTCTGCCATTTCTTAGTAGTACATCAGTTCGTAGGTACGGACGGGTAGTGACAAGGGACAAGAAAGCCTGGTGTTTGCAAACGAAAAATAAAGTTACCATGTTATTAAAATTAATTACTAAGAGAAAGTCTTCCTGTTTAGCATTGTCCTTTAAAATAAAAGCACAAAAGTCTCGCATTAAACATCTATTTACAGTACAATAAACAAAAAAACAAACAAGTAATATCATTCTATTATGTCTATTTGCAACGTTTAAATCATAAAGACATATATTATGGTTAATACAAGTAATATATATATTACAGTGTAAATTAGGCAAACCTGCTATAATTCTTCCATAGAATGTGAGTGCTAAGCTTGTAGTACAAATCTTATTGCATTTCTAAGGACAAAGACTATTCCAAATATTAGTACAATATCAAAGTACAGTTTTCAAGAGTTTTTTGGTATATTTACTTTAAGTTACCAGTAGCCTATGTTAGGCTGAATAGTAAAATGCAATCTTTTTTATATTATTGTGCAATAAATCATGTTTTGTAAAGTTTAAGTTCATATTTTGAAAGTCAAAATTACATACTGTCCAGCCCTGTTTACATACTGTACATGATGGGGACAGAATATAGGCCTATGTCTCTGTATATACATAATGTGATACCATACCATGTGTACTAAGAGAAGGTTTTAGGCTGTTGTAGTGGAGGAGATTCTCAGATTCTGTACTTTAGTAATCACAGTGCATAAAAAATAAAACTAAAAAAAACAAAACACTGCTACAAGTAGGCTAAAAGTTCTGTATTAAAAATGTTACTTAATGTACAAGAGTATTAAATCAAAATATAGCCTTCTTATATTAGCCTACCAAAAGTAAAAGCACTCATTATTCACAATGGCTTATTTCACGTGAATGTATATCACATTATTGGGTTATATATATTGATGCATTATTGTACACCACATTTGATGTTGCATTTAAAGGTAATGTTAACTGCCTTATATGCTTACTGTTTGAATTACTACTAAGTAGCTTGTGAATTTCTTGCCAGTGATCAGTAAAGTCTTATTAATGTATTTTGTTTTGTTAATTTGATTCTGAAAACTAACTAGTAACTAAAGCTATTGCGTAAATGAAGAGGAGTAAAAAGTATAATATTTCCTCTTAAATGTAGTAAAGTCAATGTAAAAAGTATCAGAAAATGAAAAGGCTTAGGTGATGTACAGATACCTCAAAATTGTACTTGGGTAATATTCTTGGATACTTTCCACCACTGCTGAATTACATTGCTTTGTACAAGTGTACATAATAGGTCAGTACTGAGGGGGTAACTGTACAGTATGTATATGTTTTATCAAAAGGTTCCTACAGGGGCTGTCATAGTGGTAAAACGGGTTTGTTGATGATATGATGTCAAAGTGCATGTCTTGAAATGTAATTTCAGGGACTCTGTGAATTTATTTTAATTTTTCACAGTATTATTGAGACTTTAGTGCAAAGATGTAGCGTTTTAATTGGTGCCTGGGGTCTTGTAGATTTTTGATTATACTGTTTATGGTAGACATAAAACTTTTATTTTGGTCAAGCTATGACCGGAAGTCCTGTTCTTGTTCTAGCATACGAAGTAGCGGACTGCGCTTCCAAGCTAGAGGCCTTGTTGTAGTCAGTGAGCCTTGTTTTCGAAATATAATTTTCCATTCGAAACGAATATGGAGTCCAGCGATGCGGGTAAATCTTTATTGTGAATGTGGTTGAGGTGCTAACGCCAAAGAACTGTGTTAGCTGGGTAGCCAGGAAACCTACTGTAGCTTATGCAGGCGTTGGACTGATTTCTTGGCGTAACCAGTGTAACGTTACAGCGTTAGCTAGCTGTCGGACTAGCTAGTTATCAAATAAAACACCCTGCATTATATTTACTTAACTCCACACGTATACCAATCTTTCCTAAGATTTGAAACACATAATATTCATATTTAGTGACATGGCTGTTTTTATAAACAGTATTTAAAAGGTGTTTATTCTTTTATACCAAACTGTAATGCTAACTAACGCGACATAGCGGCGCTACGATATCACATATAATTGCATTATATTTATCTGCGATCAGTATTTGCAATATGTTACTATGTCCACGCCTGTATAACATGATTACTGTTGTCATATATTGCATTTTCTTTTTAGGGCGGGGAGGATGGAAGTCCAAGTCTCTCCAGCCGCAGAAAAATAAGATGAATATGAATATTCTCCGTCAAGAGAAGCTCATAGCTCAGAAGAAGAAGGAGATTGAGGACAGAATGGCAGAGCAAGCAAAAGTGAAGGAAGCCACCAGCACACCGCTACCTCCAAGGTAACAATACACTTATGAGCCTGTAAGTACACTATGTCACAGACACGTAAACGTTAAACAAATGGGATTTCCTTTATTTTTCTATTAACACTATGTGAGGTACTGCTAGTAAGTATTGTAATGCAGGCTGTTTTTACACTGACTTAGACTAATATTGATGACTCATCCCAATAGTTCTCCCAGTGTTCAAGGAGCATCCTCAAACAAATTCGCAAATGATGGAAGCTTCTTACAGCAGTTCATGAAGATGCAGAAGGAGAAGTCCAACAATGGTTCTGCTGGTTAGTATCTTAATTTGCACAGTTTTGACCAAAATATTTCCGTCATGTTTTTGTTATGTCCTTACTATAAGTAATGTATTACTGTGGTGTTTACAGTGCATTGTAGTACAGCAACACTGGAATGTAGAAAAAATATATGTGACCTTGTAGTTTAGGCTTGTGGAAAAAACAATAAAGAGGTCCTTGACAGCTGTATAGAGTGGGCGGTAGAGGCTCTTTTAAGAGAGTATCCTCTTGACCCAAGGTAACTAGATTAGAGTAATATAATAGGAGACTAAGCAGTTCTTTATTTGTGTTGATTACTTGTCACATGTTGAGAAGGAACTATTAATAGCAGAAAAAATAATAGTAAGGCTACTTCAAGTTTTTTCTAAATACAGTATGTCCTCCTGTTTCTTCTTCTTTCAAGGTTCCACAAGTGAGATCAAAACTTCGTCAACCTCAACCATGTCACCAGGCCGAAATTCACTTCAAAAAAAGAGCATCCTTGTTGGCAAACGGCCTGGCCTTGGAGTCAGTAGCATGCTTAATCAGTTCAAAACCTTCTCACAGCCCAAGAAGAATCTTGTTCTCAGCCAGAGGCCAAGTGTGTTTTGTTCTCCAGATGATGAAGATGAGGAAGAGGAGTATGATTACTCCAGATTCTTAGACATGAAAGGTAATTTAAGGCCTGTGTTTTCTAGTATTTCACTGGGCAACTCCATGGCTTGAACATTTCAGTGCATCTTCTGCATACTCCAGTGGTACAGCTGCCTTGTGTTTGGCATATTGTCATAGGTGCCTTTATGGTAAATGTACTCATACCCTGCTTAAAGTCTCTCCCCCAGAGGATACAGACACCAGACTCATTATCGACAAGATGGCCTCTTTTGTGGCAGAAGGGGGTCCTGAGCTGGAGAGAAGAGCCAAGGAGGACTACAAGGACAATCCTGTTTTCTTGTAAGTACGAAGACATTTTAGTTTATCCAAATACTTATACGGTGTTTTCAAACTTAAAAGTTTTCACCAATTATCCTTGCCTTTCAGTTTTTTATATGATAAGAGCAGCTTGGAGCACCTCTATTACAAAAAACAAGTTGCAGAGTTGAGAAGGGACTTTTTAAGACCTCAGAATACATCAAATAATGGTAAGATTGCCTCTTCTCACCCTCTGTCATTTCTCTCCTTTTTCTCTTTCTAACATTTCCCCTCAGAAATATGAAAATGGATTTGAAAGGGGGTGGAAAGTTAACAATATGACTTCATGCAGGGACATTTTTAGCGATGATTATTATTATCACACTCTTTAATATCCAGTATACACTACTTCAGACCCTTCCCTCACAGATACATTACTATAATAGAGTCCTTAACTGACCTGTTATGGTGACCTGGGCAGGAGCAGCTTGAAATTCTCACTGGCTTTCTCAATTTTTCTTTGAGGCTTATAACTTGAATCTGTTATTGACAGAAGCCTTCAGCTGGCTTTTTATTGTTGGTCTCATATTCTCTTGTGTTTTAACAAACAACATGTGTTTTTTTATTGGACTTGGGAAGCTACTAACAGCCTGTAAATTGTAATATATATATGGTTTGTCCACACCTAAGTTGTGACAATTGGGTCGTATTAAGATTTTAAAGATGGAGTAAAGACTCTAGTCTAATTGTGCCCAACACAGGCAGATACATTTTAGCCAATACGATATGTGGTGGAACCTCTCTGGGCTTTATTTGCTCTTCATTTGTTGTAGTAAATCCTCACATCCATAAAGTTCCCCATTCACCACCCCTGTTACTTGCTCCTCCTCCCTCCTTCCTCTTCTTATTCCCTATTGGCTCTAGACTGGTGGTGTGTGAGAGCCAATTGAATACGGTACAATAGTAGAGTGTGAATTGACTCCCAGTACTGATAGGCTGCTTAAAGTCTCCCCCCCAGTGGATGCGGAAACCCAGCAGATGGCTGAGAAGCTGGCCAGGTTTGTGGCGGAGGGTGGCCCCGAGATGGAAGCCATTGCTGCTGAGCGCAACCATGACAACCCTTCCTTCAGGTCATTCACTTTGACTTTCCCATATGTGGTTTTATTTTTATAAAGCCTGGCTTTACTCTGTAGGTTTTTGCCTTATCATGCACCTCAAACAAAATACCTTCTGTTCCTCCTTCAGTTTTTTATATGATCATCAAAATCCAGCGCATCGCTTCTACAAAGAGAAACTACAGGAGTATCAAGCTGCAGCCTCCCGGAGCTCTTCACTTCTAATAGCTGAGTCAAAAACAGATGTTCAGGGACCATGTTCACCACCAGTACAAGGAATCCCCCCACCTCTGAACCCAGCATCTCTAACCAGCAGTCAGATGTCAGAAACCCCGCCTGTCAAACGAAAGAGAAAGAGCAGATGGGGGTCTGAAGATGACAAAGTCGACTTGCCCATTCCTCCCATTGTTATTCCTCAGGAGGTTACTGTTCCAGACCCTGACACACCCTCTCTCTCTGGTACAGCACATGAACTTGTGTTTTTACATATGTGCACCGTACAAATGTGCACATATATATATTGGTTTATTTGTACTTCTGGGGCATAAAACCTAAATGTATTGCTATTCTTTTTCAAGGTAGTATCACTATTTTTTTCCAGCTTGTACATGCTAATACTAATGCATTTGGTAAGAGAGATAGAAGATACTGAGATTATTGTCAAGAGATTAGTACTATTATCATTTTAGATGGATAGATTTTAATTTGCTATTTTTCTCACACCTTCAGCTGATCCAGTAGATTATTAATTAATGTGTAAGTTTGTGGTGATCTGCGTTACAGCTAAGGAGTTGCAAGGTCTGGGTTATAAGAAGGGGAAACCTCTTGGTCTGGTTGGAGTGACAGAACTGTCTGATGACCAGAGGAAACAAATCAAAGAACAACAAGAGGTAGGTAAATGCCAGCTACAGTGGGTACGGAAAGTATTCAGACCCCCTTAAATTTTTCACTCTTTGTTATATTGCAGCCATATGCTAAAATCATTTAAGTTCATTTTTTTCCTCATTACTGTACACACAGCACCCCATATTGACAGAAAAACACAGAATTTTTGACATTTTTGCAGATTTATTAAAAAAGAAAAACTGAAATATCACATGGTCATAAGTATTCAGACCCTTTGCTGTGACACTCATATATTTAACTTAGGTGCTGTCCATTTCTTCTGATCATCCCTGAGATGGTTCTA